CAGACACCCAACTGGTGTCTGAGAACTGCTTGGTGTTTGGGGGGGGTAGCGGGAAGGGGACCCACGTCTCAGGCTAGAATTGGGTCAGGGAACCTTAAAACACCACCCCTCTGTCTGACCCTGACCACCCAGGGAGGCCTAGTGAGCAGTCAGGCCCAGCAAAGAATTTGCAGGGCCTGGAGCAAAATAAAACCCGGGCCTGGTGCAAAAGCCAGTGTCACACCGAGCGGGGCACCGGCTGAGCACGGGGTCACATGCTTGCGTCCGCAGTGTCTACACCCAGCACATCTTCAGAGCAGCCAGCTTGCCCACTGCGGTATGAGTGATGTTGGGAAGCAAGAACTCCCGTCCCCTTTGGGGCACCCGGGTGGCTCAGTCGGTTAAGCATCTGGCTTCGGCCCAGCTCATGATCTCGCAGTTCGTGAGTTCGAGCCCCGCGTTGGGCTCTGCGCTGATGGCTCGGAGCCTGGAGCCTGCTCCGGATTCTGTGTCTCCCTCTCTCTCTGCCCCTCCCCCGCTCACTCTCTGTCTCTCTTTCTCTCAAAAGTAAATAAACATTAAAAAAAAAAAGGTCCCCTTCAAAGGTTGTTCTAGTTGGAGTAAGAATCGAATTGACATGAGGCAGAGTAACAGGAGAAAATCACATTTAATGGCGTGCGTACCGGGAATCCACGCAGACAGAAACTCCAAAGATAGTCAGGCAAAATGAGGCATACGTGACCTGAACTAGGGGGACGGGGTCTGGGACTTGAGAGGGAAGCAGTGCCCTTCACGCGGAGATAAGAGCAGAGCAGGGAACTAGACGTCGACAGTCCTGCCACACAGATGTGTCGCCCAGATAAAATGTATCTCTGCCAGTAACCTTTCTTCCGGGAAAGACCCGCAATTTGGATTCTTTGATGGAGTTAAGGGAGGGGCAGATGTTCCTTCTGAGCCCGCAGGGTCTCAGCTGCCTTCCACTGAGAGTAACCTTCACGCCAAAGCGGCCACTTCGGGTGACCTGCCCTCAGCCCCTGCGGTGGAAAAACTTACAGGTCAGCACATTTTCACCCATTATTAGGGATGAGGCCTCAGACCTCACAGCCTAGCCATCAGAGGGGAAGCACTGAGTGAGCCTTCCCCATCCTGGACCTTCGGATCTGATGTTGTAAAACACGTGACTGGCGTCTGGACCGTGACCGTCTGTCGCGATAAGGGTCTCCACGATATTTGTCACCCGCCATGTGAGCACTCTGGCTGTCCCGAAGCAGCGATGAACTTCTAGCTTTCTCTTTAGAAGGTACCAGAAGTCCACCTTTCAGGAATACCCCACCCGGTGACATGACAGGGACAGCCACTGGCTTTCTTCCCCCACGTGGGTGACCTGATTCACCTCAGTGGATGTGACGCGGCACGGGAAGCCTGTGCGACACATTTCCTACCCAGAGTGGAGCAAAGGGCTCTGAGGCCAGGCCTCGGGACACGTGCTGGGGCAAACCAGCATCTGGAGGCCGGGTTTCAGTTGCCCCCTCCCCCCAGTGCAGTCTTGAGCGTGATCTCGCAGAACCAGGAGGCAGCCCCATCCCACCCCCACCCCACCTCCCAACCAGGAGCCGACTTCGCAAGAAGCTAAAGGACACGCCAGTGGTTAGAGCCCAGGTCCGCACGGTGCCTCAGCGAACGGCTTTTCAGGAGCAGGGGCTAAACTTCTGGACGGGTAAAGCCGGGCGGACGTTGCCTCTGCGGCCCGCTGGGCTCCGACAGGCTCTGCCAGACAGGCTTCCCCGCTCTGCCGGGATTCCCCGACCACCTCAGCGCTTCCGAGGGTGGTCTGGGAAGTTGCTGGAAGCCCACGAGGCACGCGTGTTCACGTCTGATGGCCGGCCTGGCGCGGGCAGAGGGAGGGGCCGCGGGGAGGCCACGGAATGCCCATTGGAGCCCCGCAAGAGCAGCGTGAGCTCGTCCGTGGCCCCCACGGCCCGTGAGGCCCCTGGCGTGAAGCGCCTGGACCTCTTCTTCCCGGAGGAAGGCGGCCGCCAGTGGGCCTGCTCAAGTGACTGCCACCCACGAGGAGCAGGAGGGAGGGAGGCACTGTTAGGTCGTAAAACCAGGGCCTCGGGGACCCACTTCTGCTTTCGGTTCCCCTTTGACCCACGACGCGTTTTGTTAGCAGGAGAGCTTTCCAAGCATCTTTGGAAGTTGGAATGTAGAGGTAATGATTTCTGGGCCGGGTGGAATTTCTCCTCGGGGCGG